GATCTTCTTGCATTCTATTGTTTGTTTTGTTTTTGTTCAAGTTTGTATCCAAATTCCGAGTAGGTTTTATATTGTTATTATTTCCTGCAAATAAAGAAATAACTTTCTCAATATTTTGTTGACAAACTTTTTAACCACATATTTTATTAAATTTTATTGGAATTAATTAAAAATCTAATTTTTAACTAAATGAAACGGGACTATAAAAGTTAGTTAATAAAGGTTCTCAATTTTAGAAATAAATAGTTGAGAGGAGATAAAATTATTGGTTGTTAGTTGTTACACTGACGAATAATGATGGTGGGAACTTATTGACTCTTAACTAGAATTTCCTATCAAACAAGCTAATAAATTGATTTAGTTAATAATTTATTTTGATTTAGTTAATAATTTATTTGTTCATTTCTTTTTCTCAATTTAAAACATGTTATAGATTGGATTTTTTAACAGAAACCGCACTTAACAACTGGTTGAAAAAATAAAATAAAATAGGCAAATTTTGAATAACTTGTTTTAGTAATAAACTTAATTAAAACAATGTATTAAGTAATAAATTCCATAGTTTGAAAGAACTAAAATTTCATGTGATTATATTGACACTACGTTTTTTTTGTAGATACATCACATTTTAATTATATTAAATGTCATTAATCTTTATTCATTATCATATATATGTTATTAACTTTTTTCTTCATCACATTCCTATTTTCAATATTTCATTAATAAAACGATCTTGTCCTTAATCATTATTTTCATCCAAATATATTATTAACGTGTTTTAAAAAGAGGGTCAAATATTTAATCATATTTTTACAGTACTATTTATTATGCTTATTAAAAAATATAATGGACAAGTAAGTCTTTTTACTTTATCTTTAAGAATTTTTTAAAAATAAATCATAATCAGGAATAATTTATGTTAATTTGAGAGTATAGTTACGATGAAAAAAGTTTGAATTATATAAATTTGAGAGTATAGTTACGAACACCAATTTTTTAGTTGTGTAACTACAATATGCAACATGACAATCGACTTAAAAACCCGCAAACTTAATTATATAATTTTTTTCTATTAAAATATAAAATTTCTATATTTTATTTAGTCTTACTTATTAAATATGAAATTCTTTTAAAGAAGAATTTTAAAGTTTTGGATACTCAAAGAGTGTTCAATCAAAAGTAGGAATGTGCAAAATGTCTGAATCGAATCAAATCGAATCGAGCGATTTTTCTTAAATGAAATACCCGAACGGGTATCCGAATCGAGAATCGAATGGTTTGGTTCGGTTCTCGGTTCTAGACCAAGAACCGAATAAGAATCGATTTTTTTTTATATTGGATAAATCAATTTCTTTTATTTTTTCTAAACAAA